CATGCTAAGAACATAGATCTCTATTCACCTGTTGCCAGTGTCAATTATCAGACAGGATGAGCAAAGTGTCAGAGGAGGAGAGCCCATGGAAGGGTTGGGAAATGCAGCTGCTGATGGCAGAAGGTTGGAAAAACTGCAACCAGCAAGTTAATTTGCAAAGGTGGTTTTACAGCTCAGTACCAGACCGGTAAGAGCTTGCTGCTCTCAGAGGACCAGAACAAGTTTTCACCTTGTCCCTTTTCTTGCTATAACTGTTTCTCTTCCCTGCTCCCAGCCGTGCACTCTTAGTCTAGGTATTTTTCAGTCCCTTTGTGAACTGTTTCCACCCACCTCAGAGCCAACAACAGCCTGAGAAACTACGAGTGTCTTCATGCACAAACTCTGTCCAATGGCAACACTCGCCAAGAAGGAGAGAGACATGAAGGTAGAACCATGCAGCTCTTTTCTTTTGCATCTCTTCTTCTCTTTTTCAGCTGTTCTATCAGTAGATTGTAATATAAAATAAGAATAAGTAGTACTAATAATGAACAACTAAGCAACAAATTTGGATTGCTGGCTGTAAACTATAAGTCGTTGCTCCTCAGCCTTAAAAACAATATGCCAATTTAAATGCTTGAAAGATATTTAGAACTTAGGAAGATTTAAATGATTCACTCAGCCAGATTCCAGAATGTGAGTTTATGATAATATTGATTGATTGGTGGGCCAATTAGAACAGCTGAGGGAAAATTATGCCTTTTTCAGAAGAAGCTCAAAAGAGAAAAAGAAATACACTGGGACACCACTCCACAGCACTAAAATACACATTCAACATCTTATCATATTAGTGTGCAGGCATTCTTGCTGATACAGGAATGTATCAATAAATGAGGTGTATTTTCCAAATATTTATGACTTAATTACTTGTATAAAAACAAACTTCTGCTTTAAAAAATCATGAAAGTTTAATGAGGACGTAAGGCAGTAGAGTGGACTTGTGAAATGAACTCCATCTCCAGGGCAGCAGCTGAGAAAATGTCCCACAGCTATTACACGACTTGAGAATGGAAAACAGGTTCTGACACAATTAACCTTTTGGCAATATAGAAAAGTTATTAAAAAGAGTAACTGTTGTTTTCTTGAAGGCCAAACTCTGTACACCTTGCAGACTCCACTCAAAATCATCACTACTTCAAAACTGATAAACAGGTAAACCAGAAGGAGCAGTTAAAATTAACTAATATTTTTAAAAGAAATATTAGAAGAATGTATTCACAACAGTACCAGTAGTGCAGAAACAAAATTCACTAGAAATGCACACGCACACACACACATGGATGCACACATACAAAAAGCAGGACAGAAACAGCATTACAGCAAATTTCATCCAGGAATATATAGAGAAAATGAAATGTTAATGAGCCGCATATCTCAAAAATAACTTCTTCTTTTATTCCTCTTTCTAAAATACCTTTGTACTAATATTTCTTAAGTCTAGAGGTGAAATTCTGATCACATTGAAATCAGTAATTCACAAACTTTCTTCAAAAAAACCAACACTTTGCCCAAGTTCTCACTTACATATGCTCCTCAGTCATATACGTACCTCAATCTTGCTTTATTTTTTTTTTTTTTTAGCTCATGGGAAATTTGGTTTCCAAGCATATAAATAGAGTTCACAATAGGCCTTGGAAAAGCGACGACAGCATATGCTGTAATAGCTACCATGACAGACACCATCTCACATTTTTCATGGCTTCAAGAAAATCAGTAGTAAATTTCTCATTATAAAACTTTAGTTCTGAAAACCATAATGTAAAATATTTTATTACCACATCTATCTCATTCCCTCAAAGTATGTTTGGGAATGATTTGTCAACAAAAGTGAGAATGATTCCATGATTCCTTGAGATGTTATCAATAAATTACTGCAAATGAGCTACCAAATAAGCCCCATGATGCTGATGTTAAATGTTTCATTTCCACAAGCTCTTTAGAGAGTCAGTGCATTATCCCACTGAACTACTGAACTACGGAATTACATGGTATTAAAAGTGAGGTATGTGTTTATAGAGCCTATTGAATGCTTTCAAAAATAAAGACCTATAGCCTTGCATTGTTTAAAAGCAGTTTCTCTCTTTCTCTAAACCATTTTAAAAGCCTATGAAAATTTTAATATTCACAGGATTTACACACAGGTAAAATAATAGAAGTATGGTTCTCAGATCAAAAACATTTGTCATGTACTATAGAGCTCTCTAATACTAGACTGCCTGAAAGGGTTG